TTTGTCCCTTGAGTCCCTAGTACCGGACAAGGCATATAGTAAGGATTCAATGTTTGGTGAATGAAAAATTGAGTTTTGCAGTTTTCCAAATCAATGAGAAATGCTTAGTTTTTCTGACCCATGGTCAGAAAAAATCTTACTCTGATGAAGATTTCTCTATTTGCACATCACATTCTGGCTTCACGGAAATTTGGGGCCACATATGGCTAAGGTTCATTTGAGTCCTACAACAAATAATTTATCGAACAACTACTCTGTCAGATCCTGTACTGGGCATTGGGGATACAGGAAAAGTAAGACAGCCCCTGCCCACAAGGAGCTTACAGTCTAGCATGAGAAATTAACAGTACCTCAGAACCTAGTGAAAAAAATTTCTGGTGTCTAGGATATTATCTGGAACATTCCCAACTTTCCTAAAAATATGATTCTAAAATTTACCAGAAAGCACATTTTAGAAATGGAAGATGCAGTGAAATTTAAAATCAAATATCCAAACTTTAATGTAGAAAACATGAAATAAGGAAGAAGCATAGGAAAGCTGAAAAAAAATTCTATTTTAAATACTATGAACAAGACTTAAATTTTAAAGTTATTTTATTGTCTCGATGACATTTCATTTTGTAGTAACATTAATATACACATACACAGACGAGGTGTGCATATGGGAGATGTGTTCCTTGGAGGTTTTGATAAATCCCATATTTCCATTATTTATTCATTTACAACTAAAGCAGCATACAGGTAAATTTGAGACTTTCCTTTTGATAATTTCTGTTGTCATTTGAACGGGAGAAATTCTTGGGGTATAAATTTTGGTATGATCTTCTGCAGTGAGACTAAAACTGGCTTTGTCACAATGTGTGATAATTTAAACATGTATCTTAATGGCTATTAACCAAGTTTAATGGTGTCAAAAATACTCAAGTCTATCTGGATTTTATTTTCATTGTTTTTCCCCCCTGGATTCTTTTTTTTTTTTTTTAAGCATGAAGGATCCCTGTGCAAATAGAGCCTTTGTTGTTACTTGGCTATACTTTGGTACATTGCTGTTTATTCCTTAATCTAGCAGCATCCTTCGTCTACAGTATTTTACTTAGCGGCAACTGAAAAACTCACTAGCTTAGGCTTTAGCAGGGTACTTCTTTTTTTTTTTTTTTAAAGATTTTATTTATTTATTTGAGAGAGAGAATGAGAGATAGCACGAGAGGGAAGAGGGTCAGAGGGAGAAGCAGACTCCCTGCTGAGCAGGAAGCCCGATGTGGAACTCGATCCTGGGACTCCAGGATCATGACCTGAGCCGAAGGCAATCGCTTAACCAACTGAGCCACCCAGGCGCCCCGGGGTACTTCTATTATCCAGATGGTTACTGTGAACCTGTCAGAAAGCCAGTGGTCTCACAGACTGCACGCAGGGTTTGTGCAGCTCTTTAGACACTAAGCAGGCTTGGTTATCTCATGTCCCAGCTCATAACAGATGAACACAGCACGCATGATAGAGAGCCCGTTAGAGGCAGGTATGTGGATACTGTGGTAGGAGACTGAACAGACTACTTAGCAGATAGAAAAATTTTTAAATAAAAAAATCCCCAAATCCGAGCAACCTGAGGCAAATGATTACATATACCTCAGGGCTGAGGGAATCACTTTATAATAATTGATATTAACTCATATTTGTTATAGCCCTTTACAGTTTATGAAGTATTTTACATACATCAGAGCTCATTGGGTATTTGTAATAACACATGAATATAACTTTTACTTTTCATCACGAAAAACTGTATTTTACCGAGCATGCTGTTTAAGAAGGCAGGGAGGTATACTAACATATCTGAAAGACTTGCATTAAAAATAATTTACAAGTTTTAAATTTTGGCACTTAAGAGATATGCGTTAGTTATCCAAAAATTTATATGCTTTCTTTCATGACCAACACTGGCTATTACTGAGTGAATTTTCATAGCTCTCCATGGCTGCTGGTCATTTTAAATAGGGATGATTGTCATCAGTGTTATCAGACTATTTCTCCTGCTAAACACAAGCTTTAACAGATACTTATGGATGCCAGTACCATATATTCTGACTAATGTGGGAAACACTAGGCTTCTAAAAGATTCTCAGAGTATTTTTCCTATGTTGCACTTTCTAGAAAACTAAACTTTAACCATGATATGATGCGATCGTGGTTCTAGACAGGAGTTGGGAACATTATGTTTTCCTAAAATTTTTGGTAAAGCCTCATCTTGGATGTAACAAGGAGAAATAACAAAATACACATGTTCTTTGGGCTTCTGAGAACAAAGATCACATACATTTTCAAAAGATTAAGAGAGAGGTCTTGTCTGCTTTAGCCACTTCGTTTTCACAATTAAAGATAAGGAACTACTAAATATGTGATGTTCCTAAACTTACTTAACATAGCATTTCTGTAGAAAGCTTTTTCAAGATTTCTTCTAAGTACAATCTACCCCTCAAGGTGGGGCTCAAATTCATGACCCCACGATCAAGAGTTGCATGCTCTACCGACTGAGCCAGCCAGGTGTCCCTGTAGAAAGCTTTTTAAAACAAGTATAATTTATACAACATCTACCAACAACTATACCACATTACCATTTATAATACATTCACCAATTATCATGAATAAAAATGACTAAATAACATTTAGAGTAAAAAAACACCAGATTAGATTTTATGCTCTTAAGTGAAATGAGACCTCGAAATTGTAAGATGCACTTTGCTCCAAGAGTCTAACATTCCTGATGCCCTGTAATTCCTGGATTAATATCCCCCCCATGATGTTTTGATCACAGCCGTACCTCAAAAAGAGGACAAAGGTGGTTTTGTTGAGTTTGCTAATTTTTAATTCTCATCTGTGTGGCTGTTTTTATACCAAAGCTATTTATCCCACATTTTTCTTTATAGCTACTTATCCTGCTCCAAGTCTTTTAGTTAGGAATGGACTGTATGTATGCCTTGCAGTTTATGATACTAATTCTAATGGAAATTTTCAGTCTTATAAATGTTCTCTTGCATGGTGCAGAAGGTAAGCCAGCTTTGTAATACAGAATTTACAGAGGATGCTAAACAAATTAACAGGCCAGTTTCCCATCCTGTATAAACAAAAGGGCAAAGTGGTAGAGAAGTAAGCACACAGGCTTTGGACTAAAACAGCTAGGTTTGAATCCCAGTGTTGCCCTCCCCCCGGTGCCCGCTCTGTGACTTCCGGCAAATCACTTAACCTTTCAGAACCTCCAAAAAAAAAAAACCTTTCAGAACCTCCATTTCCTCCAAAGTAAATTGGCACTCATGTCACCTACCTTGCAAGGTATTTTGTGAGTGAGGGTTAGTAGTAAAGTGTGTAGATTATTTGACACCATAGAAACTCTCTAATGGTTGAAGAATCATGGACTGAAATTCGGGAGTTGGGTGACACGTGGGCCCAGCATCTGACATGCAACTCTCTAAAAAAAGGTTCCATATATTGCATCCCCTTTGATCAATAAAATTATTGTACTTAGCTTATTTTGAATGTTAAGATTGGGTGCTTTTGCCTCTGAAACTTTATTTTCCTTTAAATATGTGGGTTTTTAAAAAAAAAATTATGGCAAACCTGTGTTTTCATTATATTTTGTGGTAGTTTTCTTGATGGCTAAAAAATTTCCAATTCTTTTTAACATCCGTGGTAAAATGATCTAATTTTTAAAATTTGTCCTAGAGCCAAGATTGTTCCAAGTGAGATGTAACCTCTGCATATGTGTGTGAATGGTTGTCTGGTAGGTTCTACAAAGAAATGTCATTTTTATTCATGTATTTGGGTTGCTTAAACATTTCTATAGGATTTAAGATCCTTTTCTTCTTAGGGCTGGAATTCTGAGCATCTACTCCCATGCCTTTTTCAATCTATCAGCCAGTTTAAGGGTAGTCACAATAATACAACTTAAAGACAAGATAAAGTGTTCATAAATAAATCATTGTTTTAACAGCCAACATAATACATTAGAAATTGCCCTGAGCAAGGAATTAGGAGACTTGAATTCAAGTTCTGGCTCTGCCGCTAATTTTGTAAGATGACTTTAGGCAAGTCACTTAACTTGTCTCATTCATCAGATAATGAGATTGGTTACATTTTCTACCTCTAAAATGGATTTCATTTACTTACGATTTTTTTTAATAATTAAAACACCTTCTGGGAGTTAAGCACCTAATAGTTACAGAAGTACTTACTGATGTTTAAGGTAGTGTTTTTTAAACTCTGATCCAGGGACCACCTGAGTAAAGATCACTTGAGGTTCCTATTAAAAATAGATTCCTGTCTTCTCCCTGGCTGAATCAGAACCTCCTAAGGTGAGGGCCAGGTTTCTGTGTTTTCCACAAGCTCCTCAATGATTGTAATGCACCCTAATATTTGAGAACCACTGGCCTAAGAGAATGTGATCTGAGAGGGAACGAGCTAGCGTGTGGCTTAAATTACTCCAGCGTCTGGTGGTTCCCTTATTAAATATAATACCATTCCAAGTGGAGACTAGAAGAAAGTTGCTTTACTTCAGCAGGCCAGTCAGCCCTGTGACTGACCCCTCTTGATGTTTTTTACTTGCTGTGTTCCATAACAAAATAAAGAGGTCTTCACGTCAGCTCTTTGTCTTGACATCCAAGTCGCTGACTACTGTAGTTAGGTCACGCCTTGAACAGGACTGCAGTTCTGCCCTCCCTAATGCTAAGGGTCGAGTTTGTGCCACCTGGCTCAAGGAGTAAAGATGAGGAAAACACAACCTCTTTACTCTCAGTCCCCCCTCCACCCTAATACCATAACACGGCACCCTGTGTGAATCCAATAGTCTGGCAGAGAAAACAGATACTAAGCCACATTGTTCTCATCACTCTGACTAGATAGCATACTAACTTAATCCTCTTCTATATAAGAGAAATGATCAAAGCCCATTCCTTCTCCTCTTTTCCTTTCTAAATGCTGTTGACAGGAACAAAATACCAAATAAGGACACATGCTAGAGATTTTTAAATTCATACAAGTAAATTACAAAGAGAGGTGGTAATTATTTTTTTCTAGAGTTTTACAAGAAAATTCCCCTCACGGTGAAAAAATACGTATAATTTTAACAGGAAACTTAAAAGACATTTTTGTTGTAAGACTGACCGTTATGAAAATAATGCCATTAACTGTGCTCATTATAGAGAAACGTAACAGCAACTTTAAAAGGCCAGGTATACTGATAAGTGAAGATGAAATTTCTTTTTCAATGACCAGTATGCTGACATCGAACTTCTGGGTTTTATTTAATACCAGTGTCACGGGTTTCTCCTAACCCTGCCAAAACTCCTGCCGGACGTCCACAAAATTCACACTGAAATCAAAAAAGAAGAAGAAAAGAAACTTGACAAGAGCTACCATGCAAAATAACCAGAAGAACTGAAGTTCCGGTGGCACAGATGAGCAGGAGCAGAGGAATGCGGCAAAAGCTGCTGCTGCGTCGAGTCTAACTTGGTGAGGTCCCTATGATGCCGGACGGCCAAGTCCTCAGGTCACAGGTGTGTTCGTGGACCCATAAGAACTGGAATCTTGACCCAAACTTTTAAGATCTTCTAAAAAGGAAATACTTCACCTAAATTGAAGTAATTTTTAAGTCAAACACCAGAAGAGTTCCTTATTTGATGTTAAGTTGTGCCTAAAACTTTGGCTGATACAAAGAAACCCGTCCACTAAGGCACCCTGAGGCAATCTGACAATGTGTTGGAGAGAACTTTGTTGTCAGTACCACATCATTATGAGAGTACAGAGAACGGATCACCCGCAGAGGACTGGCTTCTTTGGGCAAACAGTCTATAAGTTCACTGCACTGTTTGTCAAATCCCAACAAGCGAATCCCGTAGCCATGTGGGGAAGAGATCATTCGCCCATCAGGGCTGAAGCAAAGTTCTTTGATATAACCCCTGCCTACATTGGCTTCTTCAATGTAATGAGTTAATCGTAGAGAACAGCGAGGTGAGACAGGTCGCACGGGAGCTCCTTCTTGGAATTCATAGACACAAGTCCACTAAGGGGAGAGAAGAGAGATAAACCAAAATTACAGAGCCCCAAATAACACTAGATATTTCTTTTTGTAAAAAGCTCAACAGGCTGCTAAAGCCACAGAATTGTTGCAAGAAATCAGATAACTGCTACCCCTCTCCCATCTACTAAAATGTGCAGGCCCTATACCTTATCTTCATAAGCCAAGGTTATTCTGTGTACTGTGATGTACTATGACTAAAGCCTTTTATTCCCTCAGGCTGCTGTGACTTCTGTGGTAATAATTCCCCTTTGTGAAAGTAACAACAATCTTGATACTTAAAATATTCTAAAGTTTAGACATCTAAGCCCTAAAATACCTGTCCTCCTACATACTTCAAAGGCTCTTCTCTCTTTTCCCCTAGTCATCAGTTTAGTCTCTCCCTGGTTTTCCCTGGTATGTATGTACGTACATACGTACGTATGTATGATTTGAGAGCAAGGACAAGCAGGGGGAGCAGCAGGCAGAGGGAGAAGCAGGCTTCCCGCTGAGCAGGGAGCCCAACTCGGGATTCGATCCCCAGACCCTGGGATATGATCTGAGCTGAAGGCAGACACTTAACCAACTGAGCCACAGAGGCGCCCCTCCCGTTATTTATTTATTTTTTTTAAAGATTTATTTATTTATTTGAGAGAGTGAGAATGAGAGAGAGAGAGAGTACATGAGAGGGGGGAAGGTCAGAGGGAGAAGCAGACTCCCTTGCTGAGCAGGGAGCCCGACGTGGGACTCGATCCCGGGACTCCGGGATCATGACCCGAGCCAAAGGCAGTCGCCCAACCAACTGAGCCACCCAGGCGCCCCCTCCCCTTATTTTTTAAAAAGAGCAAATTCTAATACTCAATTGGCTTAGCAAAACCTTACATTTAGCCAGCTTGGCGGAAGCACCTCCATCTAAAGTTTACTATATAAAGGGCATGTGGCAAGATAAAGGGGGCAAGAATTAAGCTGGGCACAATCTATCTGAATTGATACGGGTTTAAGGTATTTCCAGTCTGCCACACTGGAGAGGAGGCGGGAGAGGAAGGAGGGGTTCAAGGGATAAAGATACCATGAGCGTACACGGCAACGGCTATTTGTTCAGTCAGCCCCGTTGAAGGCGGAGTGCCGCTGCCCCTACCTCCTGATCATCGGTGTTGCTTGAGCACCGAAGGAGAGCGGCCCAGCCTTTTGGGTGCAGCTGTAAGGATGTGATGCAGTTTCCACGGTCTCTCTCACCAGGAACTTCAGGAGTTAAGACTTCAAGACTATTTCGTGGTGAAACTCCTGATAAGAAAATTCGGATGTGAAATGTATATTATCAGAGGACTAAGGCAGCTCATCAAAGCTTTGATTTCTGGCAGTCACCCCCACCCCCAACCTTAATTCTTTCGTCGGCCCCTTGTACTACCACATGTAAAAAGAAAATCTGGGCATGCTTGGGGGGCACCATCAGTTAAGCAGCCAACTCTTGGTTTTGTTTCAGGTTTTGATCTCAGGGTCGTGAGATCAAGCCCTGCATCGGACTCTACACTCAGCATGGTGTCTGCTTCAGATTCTCTCTCTCCCTCTACACCTCCCACTCATGCTTGCTCTCTAAAATAAAAAATCTTAAAAAAAAAAAAATACACAAAAAAAAACTATGGTGGTGCCCCTTGATGCATGGTGTGCATGTCTTTGGGGTGGGGATATGGGGAAAGGTTATGAACAGAACTAAAGAATCCAGGTTCCTGCAGCAGGAATCCCAGTAACCTAAGACTAGGGATCCTTTTGATTAGGATTTACATCTCAGAAAACTAAGATAAAGTTATATGACATGAAAGGAATCTGGAAAAGTAAAAGATAATTCTCATCTCAGAGGACCTGGTGCTCTCTAGTCCAGAGAAGGAAATACTTGGAAGCTACGCAGATTGCCCTTCTTATCAATAAAAGGCTATTATTATGTGTGCAAGGAGCAGGACTTAGGGCCCCCAAGAACAGTACTATAAATGATAAAACGGAGCTATAATTTTGGAGGTAAGGGAAGATACTTCACATTCCAGTATGTCAAAACGAGGGGTTGGGAGACATTGCTGATCATACATATGCCTGGTACTCTGTTAGGGCCCATCCCATCCTCCTTCCTAGCCCATGAAAGTGACTGCTACAGCAAGCCGTTACTACTGGGAGTTACGTCCTATCCCTCAGGTATGTGGAGAACCACTTTCACAGACATTATAAAGAAGCAATTTAGAAATTTAATATCAAGAGAAATATTTCAACACTTCTCTACCTGCGGAAGGAGTCGCTTTGAAGATTATGAGCTCCCTCTGTCAGACCCTTTGTGAATTGTTTCTCAAACAGATGTGTTATCTTCTTTAAAAGAGTCCCTTTAGATTACTACAGCATTGATGGAAACCTGTGAAGCTCTAAATTACATTGTTACAACCAAACTATACCTAAATAATGATTTCACATGTGAGTGAACTTTAATAACAATTTTAGAGAAAAACAAATAGCTATATCAATTAATTCTGAAAATTGAACAAAAGCAAAAAAGAAACCCATCTAAATAAGTAGTGGTTTTTAAGCTGTGCTCCTTGGAGGTTCCTCCAGAACTGGCAAAAGGAGGGAACCACATGGGGATGGGAAGGGAAGACTGGTCAAGGAACTCCCTGATTTCACTTGAGCCAGAGTTTTTGCACTTTATCTGTGCTACAGTCCACAGGAGATTTCATGTCAGAATGAGAGTTTACGGGGCACCTGGCTGACTCAGCCGATAGAGCATCTGACTCTTGATCTCAGGGTCTGGAGTCTGAGCCCCCATATTGGGTGTAGAGATCACTTAAAAAAAGTTCTAATCCTGGTTTGAGTTTGACAGCCTCAGCTCTATACAGCTACTGTATCTGTCAAAGTATGGTGCTAACATTCCGACACCCTGAAAACCCAGGATTGCCAAAATTCAGAACAACCTTATGTATGAACCCCACTTTCTTCTCTACACTCTGGCTAGGCTCTCCACACATCGTTGCTTCTCCCATTCCCAATCTCTGTATCATGAAACTGCTGTGTAGTTTGGTTTTGGGGTTTACCACTGCAACAAGCAGTTAACTGTAAGTTTTTTTTTTTTTCCCCTCATGGATGGTTTAGTTCAATAAAGATTTTTCTCAATGATTACTAAGAGCCTTGTCTTAGAAGCCAAAGTAGAATTACAGGTAGAATCTATAAAAGAAGTTTCTGCTACAAATCAAAGGAAAAACGTTACACATCTGGGCATAAATCTCTAATGGGAATTTTTAACCTTAAATGTCATAGTCTTGAATATCCAGAGGAAAGTAGATAGGCTGTAGGTTTAGGAAGAGCTCTCAAACCACTCTACAAACATAAGTAGTCATGCAAAATAATCAAGTATGCAATTATCAAGCACTTACCAGGTGAGGCCACCCAGGAAAAACACAAATTAGAAGTATAATGGATAGCCCCTCTCCTGAAGACCTAGGTAGGAGCTATGCTCATGTCCAAAAGGTGACCCAAAATTACAAAAAGACCCACATCTGGCTATCAGTCCACAAAGGACAAAAAGTGCGTAGATGTGAACTGGTATGGAGAAGTAGATGAAGTCTGCATAGGTAAAAAGCCTCTCATTTAGGGGGTGGAAAGAATGGGCTAAACAGCTACTTCTGCCAGAGCGGTGGGGGGAAACGGGCAAAGCAGAGTAGGGCCAGAATGTAGCCCACTTTATCCCACAACCCCTCTAAGGCTGTCAGGCATTGCTCAGATAAAGAAATGGCAGAGCAAAATGCCTACCGGGCTGGAACCAGGTGACTTTCACAAGCACCTGACAAATGCATCGCTTTATACAGCACCGTCACGTGCGTATCTCATTTAATTTCCATAACAACCTTGATTGGAATCTACATGTCCAAACTACTTTTTCTCCAATCTAGACCAAACTAAGTTCAGTAAATAAAGCCAAAGCTCAAATTCCGACAAAGATGTAAGCCCAAGATATCCAACCGTAGAGACTGGTTAGCTTTTGAAAATGACTGAGGGTCAAAGAATAGCCTCTTCTTTATTGGCTTTTATTTGTATAGATTTAAACTAAACCAAAGAAAGCTATTTGGTAGAATCTGTTGTTGCAAGATTATAAAATACCACTTTTAACCTACCTTCTCTTTGTGATGCTCGTGACATGTGTTTCTCAGAAGATGAGTTAGAATCACTGGGATGACAAGGTGAACCGGAAACTCGAGGACCAGATGAACTTGATGAAGTAGTCAGATCTTGAAAATACAAAAAGTTCTGACAATAAACTTAGCAAAACTCTAGTAGCATCTCTTAACTTTTTAATCAGCTAGTTGAAGCACACTGTTAAATCCATCTGAAACATGGCAAGTACACACTCACTTAAAGCTGGCCTATAACTACGACCGAGGTAGGGAGGACAGCTCTTCGAAGTGTTCTAAGGCCTGGGCCCTCTCTAAAATCTCTTCTAACAAAGACTTGTTTAAGTGAAATAAAAATGACAAACCAAATAAACATAGCATATTTGGGTTCCCCATCACTTCTGTAGTAAAACAAAACAAGAAAATTCAGTAAACATGAAAACTGAGCTGTTCATCAGCCCATTTAATCTTAGAATGGGGTCCAAATACCAGGTTCGTTACTGAGAACATTAAATGAGCCTTCTTAAGCATGCCAAACAATTCTGTTATCATTCATGAAGTTATGTGAATATTATCTTTGAAATGCAATACAAACTTTATACTGAAATCTGAAGAAAAACAAAAATTGAGTATTAGATAGTTGGGTTTGATATATTACTCCAAAAAGCAATCTCTATTACATCTCACTCTTCTAGTGGCCCCACACTTTTCTGAGAATTTCTTCATCTAATTCCCTTTGTTGTTATTATCAGAATTACCCTCAGAAGACAGAAAATGTTCTTGGTGGTTTTGTTTTTTTGTTTTTTAATTTTATTTCTTTGAGACAGAGTGAGAGAGAGAGCACAAGCAGGGGGAGCGACAGGCAGAGGCAGAGGGAGAAGCAGACTCCCCGCTGAGCAGGGAGCCCGATGCGGGGCTCGGTCCCAGGACCCTGGGATCATGAACCGAGCCGAAGGCAGAGGCTTAAATGACTGAGCCACCCAGGCGCCCCTGTTCTTGGTTTTTGAATAAAAAAATACCAACCAGACTTTCTAACTCACTACCCCTTTCTAAGCTAAAGTTCACTACTAATGTTTAACCTAAAAATAAATTTCTGAATGTAAAAGGATTATACTCACATATTTATGAAATCCCTTGCTTTGCAAATAAACTGGTAAAACTTAAATTTCTACTTTTAGCAGTGAAACTGGGCAAATGCAATTAAAACAGGGCCTGCACTTTCCCAAAGGAGTCGTCAGATGTGGCCCTATGGCCCTATGCATACAGGAGAAAGAGTCCAACCATCTGAAGCTGATTTTAAATAGCAATTTATAAACATTGTGTTCCAAATGCTTGTCTTTTTTTCTGGGTTCTTGTTCATAAATGCAAAATTATAAATAGGTATGTTCTTGGAACAGCCCTCTTTTTCTCAAAGGTGATGAAATATAGTCTCTATCACATACTTTAGACATATTATAGTGCATAAGTTTTTCTGAGCCCCAATTTCACTGAAGTCTAATGGAATCAGCAACAGGAAAAAGAATACAACTTTAGGGGCACCTAGGTGGCTAAGTCGGTTAAGCGGCCGATTCTTGGTTTCAACTTGGGTCATAATCTCAGAGTCCTGGGATTGAGCCCCGCCCCCCCAATTGTGTTCCCCGCTCGGCAGGGAGTCTGCTTCAGGATTCTCTCTCCTTCTGCCCCTCCCCTGCTCTCTCTCCCTCTACAACAAATAAATCTTTTCTTAAAAAAAAGAATACAGCTTTAGCAAGAGGATGTTTAGAGGCTGTGAAATAGGATGACACTTGCTACCTGGGTATAGACATCTGGAATTCTAGGATGTAATACAGACTTAAAAGTAAAGCTCTATACTAAATATATCTTAAAAGCTCTGCTAGGTAGGGTGCCTTGGTGGCTCAGTGATTTCAGCATCTGACTCTTGATCTCAGCTCAGGTCTTGATCTCAGGGTTGTGAAATAAAAATTAAAATAAAATAAATAATAAAGCTCTGCTGGAAGATTGAACCTACCTTGGGCCACCACTAATTTTTGAGATAGTGATGATTTAGAAATACTGATAAAAGATTTTCTGGATAGCAGAAAGCGCTAAAAGAAAATATTTTTATAGTTAGCAGTTCTTCCTAGATCATTGGTGATACAGAAGCACAAATTAACGCTATGTCAGAGATTCATATAGGTCATACTTTCTTGGGAAAAAAGCTCTCAACAAGCTTTCCAAAAATGTCTTCTAATTTCCTTCCCTTCTTCCTGCTATCATTCTCAGAATGGGAACATATACCCTCCCTTTGTGTGAGACTCTTCGGAAAACTTTTTTTAATCAAAAAAGAAAAGCTTACCTGAACTTGATGTAGTTCTTCTTGCTCTCAAAATGGGATAGCTGCCTACTTCTAAAGACTTGGTTAAGTCAAGATCATGCAAAATCAAAAGATATCCAGAGGACGTGGAGATCAACATTTTGGAACAATCTGGTGTTAATCTCATTCGCATGAGAAAACGTGTGTGAAAGAATTTCTTATGTGGACACCCATCTTCTGTACACCTACAGAAGAAATCAAAACAAAACCTAGAATTATCATAAATATAAGGATTTGGTAATAGTCATATTTTGGACCTTCAAACCAGAATTTACGGTCAGTGTATTTTTAGCCTTTTATACATGATAAACATTTTTTTTGTTTTTGCTCACCATTCCTTCTTTCATCTCCAACTTTCCATTTTATTCTTTCTGAAATATACATTTTTAAGTTAAGATTTTGTTGAGGTAAACTGTCACTTTATGTTCTGAATATTGGGGATAATATTCCATTGAGTCCTGGCTTCCATTGTTGCTATTTTTAAGTCTGCTATTGGTGCAATTGTTACTTTGGACAATTTATCCTTTGATCTTCTCCTTGTCTTTGGAGTACTGCAGTTTCACTATGATATATGTTTAAATTTGGATTTCTTTCTAATTTATTGGGATTCATTTGACTTTCTAAATCTTAAGATTCATATTATTCATATATTCTGGGAAATTCTCCATCATTATTCCAATATTGCCTCTCACATATTTTCTCTATTCTTTTGGAGCTCCAAATAGATGTTTGAAACACTCACAATTGGGGGGGGCGCCTGGGTGGCTCAGTTGGTTAAGCGACTGCCTTCGGCTCAGGTCATGATCCCAGAGTCCTGCTCTCCCCTCTCATGCTGTTTCTCTCCCTCTCTCTCTCTCTCTCAAATAAGTAAATAAAATCTTTAAAAAAAAAAAAAAAACACTCATATTTGATTCTCATCTCATAGCTGCTCTTTCTTATATTCTATCTCTTCATTTCTGTTACATTCTGGATAATTTTTAATATCTAGCTTCCAATCTATTTTTTAAAGTTGTGTCTAATCTACTTGACCCATCCTGGTTTTTAAAAAAATTTTTTTTAATTACTAAAAACTATATGCTTTAAATTGTTTAATTATTTGTTGTGATAAATAGGAACAGTACTGATTTTTACATTTTGATCTTAGCAATCTTGGTTAACTCTTACTAATTCTGATAATTTGTCAGAATTTCTAAGATTTACTATATAGACCAGTCAGAACACTGGTCTATGGGCTAAGTCTGGACTATTGCCTGTTTTTATATAGAAAGTTGGTTGGAACACAGCAATATCCATTTATGTATTGTCGACGGCTGCTCAGAGACTATACAGCACACAAAGCCTAAAATATTTATTACACAGACTTTTATAGAAAATTTGCCAACCCTTCATATAGACAATCATATCATCTGTGAATGCTATTTTTTTCATTTTTTTTCCTTTCTAATCCTTACATATTTATTTTCCTGTACCAACTAGGACCCTGTCTCCTGCCACCCCCAAACAGTGGTATACAGTAGTAGCAATAGCAGCCATATTCTCCCTTCTTGATTTTATAGAGAAAAAAAAAATTTTTTTTTTTTAAGTAAGCTCTATACTCAATCTGGGGCTTGAACTCACAACCTTGACATCAAGAGTCACATGCTCTAGTGACTGAGCCAGCCAGGTACCCGTATAGACAAAACTTCTAAAAGTTTGACCATTTAAAAATGTCCTGTAGGTTTTAGTGTACACTTCTGATGAGTTTCCTTCTATTTTTAATTGTTTAATAGCTTTGAGATATAATTTACATATCATAAAATTCACTCATTTTAACAATTAAGTGATTTTTAGTAAATTTATGGAGTTGTGCAATCATCAACCCAATTTTAGAACATTCTCATCATCCTAAAAAATCCCTCCTGCCCACCAGCAGTCTCTCCCTGTTCCTATTCCCAGTCACAGGCAGCCATTAAGTAGTCTCTATAGATCTGCTTATTGTGGACATTTAATATAAACAGAATTATACAAGTGGTCTTTTGGTTTGGCTTTTTTCACTTAGCATACTGTTTTTTGAGGTTCATCCATGTTGTAGCACATATTAGTACTCTGTTCCTTTTCATTACCAGTATTCTATTATATAGATATACCACATTTTGTTTATTCATTTGCCAATTGATAGATATTTGTACTGGTTCCCTTTTGGGGATATTATGAATAATACTGTTATAAGCATTCATGTACAAATCTTTGTGTGGTGATAGGTATTCATTTCTCTTGGGTAGATACCTAGGAGTGGAATGGCTGGTCAGATGATAAATCTGTTTTAACATTTTAAGAAACTACCAAACTTTTCTCAAGTGGCTGTACCATTTTACACCCCTACCAGCAATGTATGAGGATCCAGTTTCTCCACATTCTTGACAATACTTATTATTGTCTTTCTAAATTAAAGCCATCTTAGTGGATATGAAATGGTTTCTCATTTTGGTTTTGACTTGCATTTTCCTTATGACTAATGATGTTGATCATCTTTTCACATGCCTATTAATCATTTATATTATCTTCCTTGGTGAAATGTCTATGCAGATATTTTGCCCATTTTAAAACTGGGTTATTTGTGTATATTTAAAGTGAGTTGCAAGAGTTCTTTATATATTCTGGACACAAGTCCTTGATCAGATGTAATTTACAATTATTTTCTCCCATCCTGTAGTTTTTCTTTTCACTTTCTTAATGGTATCACCTGATACACAAAAGTTTTTAATTTTAATGAAGTTCATTTTATCAATTTTTTTAATCACTTGTGCTTTGGTTTGCATGAAGATTTACTTCCATGTTTTCTTCTTTGAATTATGTCATTTTATCTCTTACCTTCAGGTTTAAATCCATTTTGAGTTTCTTGTTTTGATGTAAAATAAGGGTCTAAATTCATCTTTTTGCATGTGGACATCCAGTTGCTCAGGTATCATTTATTGAAAAGACTATCCTTTGCTGAACCACTGAATTACCTTGGCACCTTTGTTGAATTGAAAATCAACTGATCATAAATGCAAGGGTTTATTTCTGTACTTTCAAAATTCTGTTCCTTTGATTTATATGCCTATCCCATGCCAATAAACATTGTTTTGATTACTATGGCTTTGTAGTAAGTTCTAAAATTGAGAGTGTGAGTCTTTCAACTTTGTTCTTCTTTTCAAGATTGTTTTGGCTATTCTGGGTCATTTGTATTTCCATATAAATTCTAGAATCAGGGGCACCTGGGTGGCTCAGTTGGTTAAGCGACTGCCTTCAGCTCAGGTCATGATCCTGGAGTCCCAGGATCAAGTCCCGCATCGGGCTCCCTGCTCAGCAGGGAGTCTGCTTCTCCCTCTGACCCTACCCCCTCTCATGCTCTCTCTCATTCTCTCTCTCTCAAATAAATAAAAATCTTTAAAAAAAAATTAAAATATAAAAATAAAAAATAAATTCTATAATCAGCTTAACAATTGGTCCAAAAAAGACAGCTGGAATCTTGACAGGGATTGCACTGAATCTATAGATTAACTTGGAGACAATTGCCATCTTTAAAAAAAAATTTTGTTTGTCCTCTGTAATCTTATTATTTATTTTTTTTAAGTAAGCTCTACACCCCATGTGGGGCTTGAACTCATAGCCCTGAGATCAAGAGTCACATGCTGTCCTGACTGAGCCAGCTAGGCATCCCTAAAATTACCATCTTAATGATGCTGAGTCTTCCAATCCATGAAGATGGAATGCCTCTCCATTCATTTACATCTTCTTACATTTCTTTCAGCAATGTTTTTATAGTTTTCGGTATAAAAATCTTGTACTTTTTTTGTTAAATACATTACTAAGTATCTTATTTCTTTAGATGCTATTATGAATGGAATCTTCATTTTTAGATTGTTCATTGCTTATAAGTAGAAATACAATTGATTTGTGTATATTAATCTTGTATATCTTGTGACCTTGCTGAACTTACTAGTTCTAGTATTTTTGTGGAATCCTTAAGATTTTCTATATATAAGATCATATCCACATATGAAGATTGCTTCTTCCTTTCCAATCTGGATGCCTGGTATTTCTTTTTCTTGCCTGACTGCACTTCCAGTGCAACTGTACCTCCAATACAATATTGAATAAAAGTGGTGGGAGCAGACATCCTTGCCTTGTAACCAATCTTAGGGTAAATGTATTCAGTCTTTCAACATTAAGATGATTTTAGCCAGGGGCGCCTGGGTGGCTGAGTTGGTTAAGCATCTACCTTCAGCTCAGGTCATGATCTCAGGGTCCTGGGATCGAGCCCTGTCTCATTGGGCTCTCGTCGGGCTCCCCACTCAGTGGGGAGTCTAATTGTCCCTCTCCCTCTGCCCCTAACCCCCCCACTAGGGTATTCTCTCTAATAAAAAAAAAAATCTTTACAAAAATGATTTTAGCTATAAATTTCTCAGATGTCCTTTATCAGCTGTCTAGGGAATAAAAGTTCCCTATTATTCCCAGTTTTATTACAAATGGGTATTGGATTTTGTCAAGTGCTTTTCTACCTTTCTTGAGATGATCCTGTTTATGGGTTTTGACCTTTATTAATATGATGTATTACATTAATTGATTTTTGGATATTAAACCAACCCTCTATTCCTCGGGTAAACTCTACTATTGTGACATATAATCCTTTATACATGATGCTAGGTTTGATTTGCTAATATTTTTTTGAGGATTTGGTATCTATTTTTCTTCTTCTTTTTGTTTTTGAGGAATATTGGTCTGTAGTTTTCTATTCTTACGATGTTTGTCTAGTTTGGTATCAGAGTAATAATACCAGCCTCATAAAATGAGTTTGGTAGTGTTCTCCTCTATTTTCTAGAAGAGTCTGTGAAAGATTGGTATTATTTATTCTATAAATGTTTGGTAAAATTCACCAGTGAAGACTTTTGGGATTGGGCTTTTCACTGTGGAAAGATTTTTAAATTACCCGTTCGATTTTTTACTTGCTTTAGGTCTGTGGGTCTATAGATTTTCTATTTGTTCTTGAATCAGTTTAAGTAATTTGTGACTGTCCAGGTATTTGTTTATCTGAGTTGTCTGATTTGTTGTCATAAAGTTCTTCACTGTATCCCTTTATATTCCTTTTAATCTCTATAAGACTGGTAATGATGTCCCCTCTTTTGTTTTTAATTATGATTGAATGTTGAATTTTATTCCTTGATTAAAACAATCATATGGACTTTGTTTAATCTGTTAATGTGATAAGTTATATTAATAGAATTTCTATTGATAGGGGCACCTGCATGGCTCAGTCGGTTAAGTGTCTGCCTTCGGCTTAGGTCATGATCCCAGAGTCCTGGTATCGAACCCTGTGTCAGGGAGCCCGCTTTTCCCTCTCCCTCTGCCTGCTGCTCCCCCAGCTTGTGCACACTCTCTTCCTGTCAAATAAAAAAAAATTTTTTTTCTATTATCTTTTTTAAGTGACCTATACACCCAATATGGGGCTCGAACTCACAACACCGAGATCAAGAGTTGCATGCTCTTCTGACTAAGCCAGTCAGGCGCCCCAGATGTATCATCTTGTCATTCCTGAATAAACCCAACTTGGTCATGATATTCTGATTAATATCTTCGAAGTTTCAGTTTCTTCTATTTAGAATATTTTTATCTACATTCACATTACAGATTGACCTTTCAATTTTTCTCTTCTAATATTATCTTGGTTGAGTTTATATATTAAGGTTATACTAGCTTCATACATGAGGTAAGGAGATTTCCCTTTTTCTGGAATGTGAACAACTTAATAAAAGTGGAATGTTCTGTTTCTTGTACTGTCTTACAGAAGTCACCTGTAAAACTGACATGCCTGCTGTTTTATTAGTAGATAAATTTTAATTGATATTTTCCATTTCTTTAATGGCTATGGCAGAGGCAATGTTTAGAATATTTAAATAACCAGCAATGCATGAAAATGAGCCAGTCAGAATTGATGCAGTTGGCAGTGTTGGAACTGAGTCCTGGAATTACTCTACTGTAAGATCTTAAAACTTCATCAACAGGGGCGCCTGGGTGGCTCAGTTGGTTAAGCGACTGCCTTCGGCTCAGGTCATGGTCCCAGGGTCCTGGGATCGAGCCCC